GTTACAGACAGACACACTGTTAGAGACAGAGACAGTGTCCGTGTGAGAGACAGGTTCAGAGACAGTGTTACAGACAGACACACTGTTAGAGACAGAGACAGTGTCCGTGTGAGAGACAGTGTTAGAGACAGACACACTGTTAGAGACAGAGACAGTGTCCGTGTGAGAGACAGAGACAGAGACAGTGCTTGTTTAGTGCGGGGACAGAGGGAGACGGTGACTCTGGGGACGGGTTGGACTGGCTGAGGCACAGATCTAGGGTGAGCTCCTGGGACAGTGTGCTAAACCCAGGTACAGGCACAGGAGCAGGGACTCCAGCCCAGCTGGGCTCGCACCTGGGGCCGGGCTACACACACACACACACACACACTCCACACAAACACACACACACAATCCACACACACACACTCCACACACACACTCCACACACACATACAATCCACACACACACACTCCACACACACACACACACACTCCCTACACACACACACACTCCATACACACACACACACACTCCATACACACACACACACTCCACACTCCACACACACACACACAATCCACACACACTCACACTCCACACACACTCCACACACACACACTCCACACATACACACACTGTAAACACACACCATACACACCCACCCACCCACACACACACACACTCTGTACACACTCCATACACACACACACTCCATACACAAACCATACACACACTCCATACACACACACACTACACACACCCACACACACACTCCACACACGAACCACACACACACACACCACACACACACACTCCCTACACACACACACACACATTACACACACCCACACACACACTCCACACACAAACCATACACACCCACCCACACACACACACCACACACACACACACTCCCTACACACACACACACTCCATACACACCCACACACACTCCACACACACACACACTCCGTACACACCCACACACACTCCACACACACACACACTCCGTACACACACACACTCCACACACAAACCATACACACCCATACACACACACACTCCATACACACTCCATACACACACACACTCCCGCGACGCCTGGTTCACGGATCAGGAGTGGGATCTGGGGTGGGAGCAGACTCCCAGTTTGTGGGAGCAGGACCGTGGAGC